GCTCAGATGTAGGCCCCATGCTTCCCACTTCCTTGCATTTCAGTATTTGAGACATTACAGGTCTCAGGAGATCTTGACAGAGGCGACAGCTTTCTCCCTTGTCTTCGTGAAGAGGGCGTCAGGAGGATGGTGGGACAGGGGCGTCTTCAGTTTCTTTTTGATTCTCCACCACGATCACACGCTGACATTGTGGTTTGTAGTTAGGAAGAAAATGCATTAGGACTGGGGTGGGGGGCAGGAATGAGGACGGGGGGTGTGGAAAGAGGAGGAATCCTTTGCTCCTTGTCTCCCAGGGGAGGCCATACCTTCTGGTCCGGTCGTGTGAGCCCTCAGGAAGCCACTTCCGCAGTCCAGGCCTTGGTTCCCCACCTGTAAAATGCAGACCATAATACCCTGACACACCCCTGGCTGGTAGGGAAGGCCAGTGTAAGTGAAGGGTTAAAGAAATGTCAGCTCCTGTTACTTCTGAGAACAAATGCTTTCATTCATTCACCTATATTTTGATAAACGTCCACTGAGTGGTCACTATGAATAAGCACTTAGGTCTTTCTTAGCAAAGGACTAAGTAGTCCTTTGCCGTGGGGGTCAGCCTGGCAAACAGTACGTTCTAGAACCGTTAAAACATTAGTAGCTAAGAACTTTTTTCAGTGTAGCCCAAACACATCCTACTGGGAGCTGGCACACATATTGCTCCCTCTGGTCTTCAGGATGTCCCTGCAAGTAGGTGTCATCACCCTGCTTTTCAGATGAGACATGAGAACCCCAGCTGGGGTTCACCACACAGGCCTCCTCCCGCTGGGGGACGCCAGGCACGGCTGCAGCGTGGCGGAGCTGAGGCGGGGGATGAGCACTACCGCGGGCAACAGGAAGACTAATTTTTGAGAATGTCCAACTCTGAGGAATGATCACGTCTTCAATAATGAGGTGAACACAGCAGAGGAGGGAAGCCGGGGGCACTACAACTGGATCCACTTCACACACTTCACTTAATCCTCAGCGCCCAGGTGTACCCAGGGCTCTTGGCAAACTTGGCTAAGAGTCTTGACTCAGGACAGATTCCCCAACTATGCGGGCTGTGCCAGGCCAGCAGCCTTGACCAGAGAACTTGACGACTACAGGCAGATCTCATTTGATTGCACTTTGGAGATACTGCATTTTTTTAGAATGGCAGGTTTGTGGCAACTCTGTGTCGAGTCTATCAGTACCATATTCCCAAAAGCATCTGCTCGCCTCAGTCACATTTTGGTAATTCTCACAGTATTTCGAACCTTTCTGTTACTGTTATGGTGATCTTAGATTTTACTTTTGTAATTGTTCTGGGGCACCAGGAACCACACCCACGTAAGACAGCAAAGCTAATCAATAAACCGTGTGTGTTCCGACTGCTCCTCCGACCAGCCGTCCCCCCATCTCTCCTCCTCGGGCCTCCCTGCTCCCTGAGACACAAGGATATTGAAATTAGGCCAGTTAATGACCCCGCAATGGCCTCTAAGTGTCCAAGTGAAAGGACGCGATGGACGCCTCTCCCTGAGTCAAGAGCTGGAGACGACGGCGCTCAGCGAGGAGGCGCGTCGGACGCCACGGCGCCTGCCACCCAGGAGTCCTCCTCGAGGGGGGCAAGCGCTGCGCCGGCGGGCGCGCTGCCCGAAGG